ATTTATCCTCAAAATATTTAAATATCAACTCAAAAATAAATTTAATTTACCGATAATAGTTTATCTACAAATATTTAACCACAAGCTTACAAAAACTCATGTAATTTAGTTTAGATATTTTAGAGAGAAAAAAAATTCCTTTTTTAAGCCAAATTTTATCAAATTTATTCTTGCATGTGTTTATCACTTATCCCTAGGGGTGTTTACGGTCGATTAACAATATCGTTTACTGTAAACGGTTGGTTAACCGTTATAACAATTATTAAATTTTGTTAACTATAATCTAACCATTAAAAGTGGTTAATCGTCATTAGTGATTCGGTTATATAATAACCTATGATTAACATATTACAAATTTTTCAAAATAATTCAACTTAATTTTTTTTTAAAATTTTCATAAAATTTACGATGATAAAAACATATATATTTGTAAAAATCTTATTTATTTATAAATGCATTTTATTTTATAAATATATATATTATGAGATATATTCATTTTTACAATTTAAAATATTGTATGTATATTTATATTTTGTAATTTAAAATCATATATATTTCTTCAATCTATGTTTGATTTAATGTGATCCTATATAAGATAAACATGATAACTAAAAAATAGGAGGAATCATTTTTATTTTATATTTAATTTTATTTAAAAATATATAATTAATTAATTATAATTTATTAGCGGTTAACCGATGGTTAATCATTTATTAAAATTCATTAATCGTAATCGTTAATCGATATTTTTAACGGTTTGGTTAATCAAAACCGTTTAATCTTAACAGTTCAGTTAATTAATTGAAACCATTTAATCTTAACAATTCAATTAATTAACCTATCGAATGTAACAACTACATCGATTAATAGTTACGGTTAACATATTAATTTAAACACCTCTACTTACCGGTGTCTAACATCCTTTTGTTTTGTTTTGATTTGATACCCAACTGTCTTTTAAGTAAAAACTATTAACACCATTAAGCTACAAATCACCATCTCTTTATTTTATTTAAGTATCACCTATCATAATAGGATCGGTCGATGAAGTATCACATTAACATTATATACTAATATAAATATTTTTTTAAACTAGCCTGGAGAGAATAAATGAAAGTATTTGTTTAGAGATTCTTAATCATTTGACATTGAACGATTATACTTTTTTATGTACACATGGTGCTCGAATCTGAAACCTCAAAAAATAACAAAAATTCCTTAACCATTGAAATCGTTTGATTCATGCATTTAAAGATTTTTTCAATACAAATTGACATTTTTTTTTAAATTTAGGTATAAATTTTAGATAAAATAAAATTTAAATATATAATTCATTCGCACCGTGTATTTTTTTTTTAGTTTTACACATTTCTAGAATCATTAGATGAGTGAAAATATACGATTGAGATTAATAATAGGAAATAAGAAGATATTTATAAGGGAAAAAATAAAGAGATAATCTCAACAGTATGTTTTTACTCATTCAACGATCCTAAAAATGTGTAAAACCTTTTAGTTTTATAACCATTATAAATGGATACTATCCCTAACCCATCTATATCTAATCACATAGAGAAAATATGAGGGAAGAAAGATTAGCAACTTAGCTAACCGACCAAATATACTTAATTATATCGGACAATATTATGTTATCACGTTATTAAAAAAAAACATCGCTAATAAAAATATTGTTTAGTCAATCGATCAAGGAAAATGGCCAAGAGGGAGGTGAATTGCCAAATTAATAAGTTGTTGGAAGCTTTTAAAAGAAGTAAGAAATCGACACAAGGATTTTAGAGTGATTCAACTCCCTTAATGAAGTTTACATCCACTACCTTAGCTTCCCAACTAAGAATTTCAACAAATTCACTAATTTGTTCTAACCTTTTAGGACAAGGTGTAACCTTACACAACACTAAGACTTATACCCCAAAGTCTTAAGTGTTAAACACTTCCTAAGAAGAAATTACAAATAGAAAACTAGGAAACCTCACTAGGAATGTGTTTGCACAATTCAAGAACAAAGAAGAGCACTCAATAAAAATGAAACAAATGAGTACAAAAGTGTTCTTTAAAAGCAAAAAGAATATTGAAAATGTTGACTTGATTTTGGCTCAAATTGATTGCTTTGACTTTCTCTATGATCTCTTGTTTTCACATATGAATTGAAATCTTGTTTTTATACCTCATCATTCAATTCTAACTGTTTGGATTGTTGTAGGAGTTAATAGAGCTATTGAGAAGAATTTTTAAGCAATAATTGCTGCCTAGACGCCTTGAGTACCAGTACTCGGGCTTAGAGTATCGATACTACATGCATTAAATATAAAATTCTAGCCATTTGTGAGAGAAGAATATCAATACTCCACCTAGAATATCGATACAAGTATCGATACTCAAAGAGTATTGTACAAAAATAACTTACTGGAATCGAGTTTGTCAGAAACATAAAAGGGGTATCGATACCATCATTAATAAACGTATTAAGTGCATAAAACTGAATTCCATGTTCTAATTTGAAAACATAACTTCTTGAAGTATTAACTTGAGAGTGGAAGTACCTAATTCATATATCAGTTTAAAAGTAATATTTTAAATATTAACTCAAAAGAAAATATTTAGTTTAGATATTTCATTAAGATATTTAGTTCAGATATTTTTTTGAGAGAAAAGAAAATCTGAATTTTTGTTTAAGCCAAATTTTATCAAATTTATTCTTCCACGTGTTTGTCACTTACGGTGTCTACCAACCTTGTGTTTTGTTTTGTTTTGATGCCTAACAACCAGTATTTTAAGTAAAAACTATTAACACCATGAAACTACAAATTAATCTCTCTCCATTGAATAAAATGAAAAGGTTTAAGGGCACCTTTATCTCGTCCAATTATCATTTTCGTTTTTATAGTATTTTCGTATTAATTTAACCTTTAAAATTGTTTAATCACATCATTTTATATTTTATCTCTAACTTAGAACCTTAAATTATAAACTTTAAGTTAGACTTTAGGGTTTGGGTTATTGTGAGAGTTAATAGAGTCATTGGGAAGAATTTTCTCGCAATAAATGATGCCTAGACGTCTTGAGTACCAGTACTCGGGCTTGGAGTATCGGTACTGCCTTCATTAAATACAAAAATCTAATCGTTGGTGAGAGAAGAGTACCAGTACTCCACCTAAAGTATCGATACTTGTATTGATACTCAAAGAGTATTGGTACAAAAATAACCTATTGAAATCGAGTTTGTCAAAAACATAAAAGGGGTATCAGTACCAATATCGATACTTTAGTGTATTTATACACATCAATATCGGTACACATATCGGTACCACATGAACAATACCATTAGTGTTCTTGCAGTACCAGTACTACAATGTTAAAAATTGATTTTTGACTCGATTAAGATCCGAAACCCTTTATAAAAATGTTTGAAACATATTTCCCGTATATGACTTGAATTTTTCAAAAGAATAATAAATAATTATGAAGTTTTTAACTTTGAAAATAGTTTCAATATTCGAATGGTTGAATCGAATATAAATTTAAAAACCAAATTAAAAATAACCTTAAAATTTCTTTAAATTTATTTACTTTTTGGTATATTAAAACCTCAAAGCGTGGTTCAACAAATACTAAATGGATAACATTAAATTTCAGATTCTAATTTAAGATATCAGCTTGAGAGAAGTACTTAATTCATGTATCAACTTAAAAGTAAAATATATTTAAATATTAACTCAAAAAAAAAAATGGTTCAGATACTTTATTATCATTTATTAAAAGGAAACATCATTAACGGAAATATTAAGCGGATAAAATTAAATTTCATATTCTAATTTAAGAGTCATATATATTATATTATTATTTTATTTAAAAAGTAACATCGTTAACAAAATTACTAAGTGGATAAAATTAAATTTCATATTCTAATTTAAGAGGAAATTTTCTTTTAGATATCAACTTGAGAAGAGGCTCTTTATAACTAAACTTAAAAATAAAAAAATATAAAAGAAAATATTTTAGTTAATATATTTAGTTTAGATATTATGTTATCACTTCAATAAAAGGTACCATCATTATTAAACGTATTAAGTGCATAAAACTGAATTCCATGTTCTAATTTGAAAAAAGAATTTCTTTAAGTATTAACTTGAGAGTGGAAGTACCTAATTCATATATCAATTTAAAAGTAATTTTTTAAAATATTAACTCAAAAGAAAATATTTAGTTCAGATATTTCATTAAGATATTTAGTTCAGATATTTTTTGATTGAAAAGGAAATCTGAATTTTTGTTTAAGCCAAATTTTATCAAATTTATTCTTCCACGTGTTTGTCACTTACCGTGTCTACCAACTTTGTATTTTGTTTTGTTTTGATGCCTAACAACATGCATTTTAAGTAAAAACTATTAACACCTTGAAAGAATTGCCCGTCCAGCTCAGGTGGTAGAGCGCAAGGCTCTTAACCTTGTGGTTGTGGGATCGAATCTCACGGGGAGCAATTCATAATTCTGTCGGAGATTTTCCACGGAAGCTGCTCTCAACCTGACGTTGGAGATAGCCTACTACATACCTCTCCCTTATCCCATTATATATGAGATTAAGGTCAGCTAATTTTATTAACACCTTGAAACTACAAATTACTATCTCTTCATTTAATAAAATGAAAAGGTTTAAGGGCATATTTATCTAATTCCATTATCATTTTCGTTCTTATCGTATTTCGTATTAATTTAGCCTTTAAAATTATTTAATCACATCATTTTATATTTTATCCCTAACTTAAAATCATAAATTATAAACCTCAAATTATAAACCTTAGATTGCCGCTTCATGTAGCAGATTTTAATTAGCAAGCAACAAGTTACAGTTTGACACGTGTTCGGTACAAAAAGTTATTATAAAAAGCCGATATCCTCGTTCCATTTGGGAAGCAGAACAATCTCCAACACTCCACTCTCCACTCTCCACTCTCCACTCTCCACTCTCCACTTCCATAAAAATGAAAGTTGCTCAAACAATGAAGGTGTTGGCAATGGCAATAGTATGGGCATGTTTCGTATCCACGGTGGAACCACAAGCCCCAATTTACAAGGTCACGTTCACCGCTACGTCTGCCACCAAAAGCACGTACGATGTGTTCATCAAGGATATGATAAACTCATTGATAGTCCATGGAAGTTCAGTGCAAGGGTTTCCCGTGTTGCCCCCCAGGACTATGTCACCTACCGATCTCCATCGGTACGTCGTGGTGGAACTCACCAGCAGCGCTAAAAAAGTGTCGTTAGTTATCGATTCCGTGACCGTGTACATCTTGGGTTACCGACCAGGAGACGGAACAGCGTCCTACTGGTTCAAGGATGTTTCCGCAGCCGTCCAAAATCTTTTCTTCCAGGGCACTACGAGAGTCAATCTCGGTTTCGATGGCAGTTATGATGACCTCAAAACTAAAGCAGGAGGAGTAGACAGAGATCAAATCCCTCTAGGATTCGGCGAACTACGCCAGAAGATCCAGAGCTTGAATTATTACACACCTCAAGCTGATGTCAAGCAAGTTGCGAAAGCGCTTGTAGTTTGTGTCCAGATGGTTTCGGAGGCCGCGCGATTGAAGATCATCCAGCAACAGATAGCTGCACTGGCGCCGCTTGTTCCTGGGGGACCTGATAAAACCTTATATCCCGATGGTGTAATGAAGGCTTATGAAACCAGTTGGGGAAAACTCTCTGATGCCATCCAAGATGCAAAACCCGAAGGAAACTTTATAAAGAGTGTCACCGTTGTAACTGGTCAGATTGTTTACAGCACTGTGGCATCTGTGCGTCCCGTTATCTCGATACTGCAAAAACAGACTTCCGCCACATATTCTGCTACCGCCCTTCTTGGCCAGGTCATCGACGAAACACTTGGCCAGATTTAGTTCAAAGCGAAAGCACATATATGCACTAGCATATATGTTATGTACTCGATAAATAAAAAAATGCTGGATCTTGTAATCCACCTCGGTTTATCTATCCGAATAATAATCTTTTTCCCTTTATTTTCTTCTTCATCGGAACCACGAATGACGTTGGAAGCTGGGTCTATAAAATAATTTCCCGTCAATCAGGGAAACATTTGATCTGTTTAAGGCGTGGTGGTAACCTTATCATCAGTGTTGGTTTGGTATTCCATAAGCTGTCCTTTTCCTTGTATTTGTTCTCTGTGTGCTGTGTGCTGTGTGCAGGTTTTTTGCTGTTCTAGTTTGTACCCTTCACGTGTTGCTCAGTTTGTTGCTGTTTTGTCAGGATTGTTTTTGTTTGTAGGTTGGTCCATGCTTGGAAGGGGTTTTGATTTTCTTTTGTATCCGTGACTTGGTCTTTAGTTTGGTTTTTCTGATGTTGCTTAGCTCAAGTATTTTTTTTTCTCTATGTACGTCTAGAGAGATTTTTAACGAGACGAGACTTGAATTAAATTAGGTTTACTTTTATCATCTGGAATTCCATTGCTGATAAAAAAAATAAGAGTAACACGCCAAAATATCATCAGGCCGATATAAAAGAAGCCATAACCATGATCAAACATGAGAGAAACTGCATAGAACTACACCAAATGCTGCCATGTCAATTTAATTTAAAGTTGTTAATATAGTTAATGTTTAATAATTCAATGGAATCATTTGAAAATAAAAGGTTAAATCGAGTATTTAAATTATTAGATTAGATCATTCCGATGGAATCCTTTTACACACCTCAGATGAAATCAGTTGTGGTGGTGGAATCGGTGAGAAATAATAATTAAATTATGCATTGTTTTTATAAAATAATAATAAAAATGAAGCCAATATGGCGTTGCCACTGCACTAGAAGACAAGTATACTACGATAAGATATTGATGGAACCACTCTTGATTTGACTAGGAAGGAGTAGGATTATGAGTAACAAAAATTGTTATGAAAATCCTTCTCCTCTTGGAAGCACGTCCATAGCCAAGCATTGCAAAACTCTCCACTTCCATTTTGAAAGAATTGTCCTCGAATGAAGGTGTGGGTTGTGTTGGTAGTGATAGTGGTAGTGGCGGTGGCAGTGTTATGAGATTGTTCCATATCCCTGGCCCAACCTCCGACTGTCACATTGGATCTTAGGACTGGCACTAGGCTAACCTATAGGCTCGTTATGGCTCAACTCAAAGATGAATTGTTCCGATATGGAAACACCGACGGTGAAATCGCGTTATTACCCGACTCCAGCGCATCAATCTGTCCAGAAATGGCAGAAACTAGTCCCCGTCGATATGTTTTGGTGCAACTATTAGATGGGGACCAAAGCGTCACAATAGCTTTGGATGTCACAAGTGTGTATGTGTTGTGTTATCGACCAGGAAACGGAGCCAGGTCACACTTGTTTCCCGGTGTGTCCGAAGCTGTACGAAATGTTGTGTTCCCAAACACTCGAGGACGAGAACTTCCATTTACTGAACGTTATGGATCTCTAGAAGGAGCTGCAGGAGTAGGTTACAGAAGTCAAATCCCTCTGGGAATTGAGGAGCTACAGCATCATATTCAAAACATGAATGATTACGATCCTGCTAGTCCACATGATCGTACAATCGCAAGAGCCCTTTTAGTTTGTATCCAGATGATTTTGGAACCTGCGCGATTTAGATTCATCGAGGGAGAAATAGCTGAGGTGGCACAGCCTCTTCCGGATGGATCTTGTCAAGTGTTACATCCAGATGCTTTAACGAGGGCGTTTCAAAACAATTGGGACTCCATCTCCGAAAACGCCCAGTCTGCAGTCTATGGAATCTTTCCAAATGATGTCCGTTTAGTACTTGATTCTCGAGAAGAACCACTGATTTTCGACAGCCTGGCATCCGTGCGTTTCATTGTTGCATTAATGCACATAGCGTGCAAAACCCGAAAACTTAAACCGCAGTTTTTGCAAATGCCAGCATCAATATCACCCTCTTCTTTTCCCATGGTTATGAGATCCACAGGCCTCCAAGAGAACGATGAAACTTGCGACGTCGTATTAGCTCCAACGTCGTACATCATCGGACAAAATGGTCTGTGTGTCAACGTATACCAGGAAGACCACGCGGATGGACACCAAGTAATCTGATGGCCACGTGGAAACAATAAAGTCAATCAATTGTGGACGTTGAGGTCAGAGGATAACATAATTCGATCAAACGAAAAATGCTTAACCACTTGTGGATACAGCTCCGGAAGCGACGTGATGATCTACAATTGTGACAAGGCTGTCCCCAATGCCACCAAATGGGTAAATCTGTAGAGTTTAATATTGCATATTTTTATTATTATTTAACTTTAATTTATCCCTTAGATATTATTGAATTTTCTTTATTTTGAGTTTATTTTGAAAAGGAATTTCATTGCATTAATTAGTCTAAAAACTATTAGATTTTAACGGTCTATTCAACATCTTATAGAAGATAAGTAGAACTTCTTTGAATATTTAATTTGAAATTTACATGGGATATAGTTATCCAGAATATGAAGAAAATTTCAACTAGAATACTTAAATATTTATCTTTTGTGATAAACTTTTTTAATTTAGGAATTTTAGTTTGATTATTCTATTATTATTTTATTTAAGAATTAGCTATTTTATTATAAATCTTATTAGGATTTTTAATTTGATTATTTTAGGAATTAGTTAATTTATTTTCTTAGAACTATCGGGTTATAAATACCCCTTAGATTCAATAGTTGAAACTCATATTATAATTTATTTTCTTTGGTTATTTATTGAATTTATACTTTTCTTTCATCTCCATCTTTCTTTATTTTCTTTTCACAAAGCTAAGTATCATCCAATCTATGTTATTGCCACTATAAAAATACCATTCTCTAACTACATTTCTTTTGTATTATTGTTTTAAAAAAAAAACAATGTTCAACGTATTTATTAAAATGATATTTTGATTTTAACATCATTAAAATATCATTTTATCCCGAAGTATTAACATCATGCTAAACAATTTTATTAATGTTTGAAAATCTTTTTTATCATGTTTAAAAGATTTATTAATAATCTGAAAGTCCTATTGCTATACTCAAAAGACTTATTATTAACATGAATGACTTACGATATATTATTACATTTCTCTTATTGTTATTATTGTTATTATCATTATTATATTCAAAAGATTTAATGATATGCTATTTTCATTGTCATGCCCATTTTATAAATTTTGAATAATATAAAATTTAAATATTATGATTCGTGTATTATTTGATTATTTTATTTTTATTAAATATGAATTAAGCGATATGGGTAATAAAGAAATTATTGTTACTCATTGAGGTCTCAAGTTCAAGCACTAGAAATGTCAGGGTGTGAGTTTTAATATTAAATGGTTGAAAGTTATCTTTGAACATATACTTCCTTGTACTTACTCAAGATTTATGAAAAAATTGATTTTTATTAAATGATTGATTCACATTATTCAAAAATTAAAAAACAAATTAAATATTTAGAATTTTTAATCAAATCATTTGGATCAATTCTTTTACTTACTCAGGGACGAACAAGCTTGAACTTATAAAATTTTATATAAATAAAAACAAATTTTGAATAAAAAATACATAACAATTTAAAATATATGACAATTTTATACTTTTAAGGAGATGACCGTTTCTGCCTAGGTCCATCCAAGTACTTTTACTCCTCACTCCTAACTAGAACAATTATAGTGGTGAGAAATAATTAAGTTAAGCATTATAAGCGTGTCATTATTACTATTAAAATATCATCAGTAGTTAAATAATGATATATATATATATTTTTTAAAAAGTGAAGTTTTGTATTGTATTTGAGACACACAACTACAAAATAAATAAAGATAGAGACTTAGGTCTCATAAAAAAAATCTCTCCAATCCTAAATAAATGGAGGAAAAGAGTGCGCCAAGTCAATGTCGGAACATGGACATATAACTAGATTTTGCCCCTTACAACGATCCTGGAATATGGCTGATAATCTCATCAGTAGAGATTTTGATGATTTGCAAGGTATGGGCTTCAAAAATCACGAGTTATCAAAAAGGCTAATACTCGAGGATAACTTAGATGTTGATACATCAAGAAAACAAGTTGAGACGAGGCCTTTTAGAGTTGAATCGTGGGAGCAAATTGTGGACAAGTTAAATAATAGCTCAGTGTCACGGACCACGACCTTGAAGCCGAGTCCAACATCATCCAGCCTGCATCCACATGCACTAAGGCACTCTGAGGCTCGCCCCAAAGCACACCAAGCCCGCCCCAAAGCACGCCAAGCACGAGACAGAATGAGATAAGACCAAACACAACATGATTCAGGCACTCCTCAAGCCAAATCCGGCCCCTCTAAGAAAAAGGGACAAAGCCACAATCATTGTTCAAATAGGACTCAGTATTAGGAGTTTTAACTTAAGTAGGGAAGTACTTTTAGTTAGAGTAGAAGTAAACTTAGTCATCAACTCATAGGGGATTTTTGCTATAAAAGGGGTCTCCTCACTCCATTGTATTTATTCATTCTTTTCTATTGGAAATAAAACTAACCCGACTTCCAAGCCAAAAACTCTCGTGCATCTCTTATTTCCGTTCATACTCTTTTGTTCTTACGTTCGCAACAACTTAAGCGACCAAACTTAAGCTTTAAGGATGCCTTAGCGCCCAGCAATGGTGCAAAGCGACCAAACTTAAGCTTTAAGGATGCCTTAGCGCCCATCAATGGTGCAAAGCGACTAAGGGCCACACGAACCAGCTAGCCTACACTCTAGCCCCGTGTCAAGTGGTATCAGAGCCTGTTTCATAACCAGATGAGATGGCTACTCAATGCGGCAAACCAGCAACGCCTGATGGCGTCGAGGCTCACAACCTAGAGAAGAAGTGAGGAATGTCAAAGGACATGCTCACATCGCTCCAAGGGAAGATCACCACACTTGAGGACTCTGTAAAAGAGACCAAGGAGGTTTTAGATCTGTTACAATCCATCGATCTTGAGAAGATGGGATCACTAGATCTTGAGAAGGTTGAAGTCTTGGAGCATATCCAAGAGGATGTGCAAGTGGCATTCAATAGATTTGATTCAAAGAGTTCTCAACAAGAAGATGATGTTGACGCCCAAATTCTTGCTCTAAGAGAAGAGGTCGAAGAACTCAAGAATAAAGGTTCAGGGATTGAAGTCGAAGATCTCAAGAAGGAGATTGAGCAACTCAAGACCGAGGTGGCCTTGTGCAAGGTTGCCGTGGCTGGTAACATGATGACCAGCACCCCCAAGGGCCGAGCTGAAGTCCCTAAGCTAGAAAATTTCAAGGGGACCAGTTTAGCCAAAGACGTGGAAAACTTTATGTGGGACATGTGTCAATACTTCTGAGCCATTGGTATCGTGAATGATACTGAAAAGGTAAATATTGTAACTGTTTACCTAACAGATTTAGCACTCTTATGGTGGCAACGCAAGTATGCCGAGATGAAGCGAGACGACACCACTATAAGAACCTGGGCGGAGTTCCAAACTGAATTCAAAGAGCAATTCTACCCCACCATGCCGAGAACGAGGCACGATCAAAACTAAGGCGTCTCAAGCATGATGGCTCACTGAAAGAGCACATTCGACAATTTGTCGAGTTAAGTCTTCAAGTCCCGAGTTTAAGTGAAAAGGATGGGTTCTTTACCTTCATGGATGGGCTAAAGCTATGGGCGAAGAACGAGCTAGAACGTTGAGGAGTCAAGGATCTCGCCAAAGCCTTGACTACCGTCGAGGAGTCAAAGATCTTGCCAAAGCCTTGACTACTGCCGAGTCACTCATAGAACTTGGGGTTCGAAAGAATGACTCCTCTAAATCAAAATACAAAGCAAAGGTGGAGATAAGGAGAAGCCATTCAAAGGTAGATCAGACAAAGAACAAAGTGGTCCTGGAAAGCCATCGAATAATAAAACCCAACAAGGGGAAAAACGGGAAAAATAACCCATCCAATGCTACAATTGCAAGGGGCTAGGAAACTTGGCTAGAGAATGTCCTCAAAAGAATCAACTTTCTGCCATCGAAGGAACCGATGAGGAAGAAGAAGAAGCAGAGACTCTTAAACTTGGATCCATCATCAGTACATAGAAGTCAAGAAGGGTCGAAAGAAAAAGGGACTCATGTTCGTGGACATCTCCATAAAGGGGCAAAAACTAAGTGCCCTTGTGGACATCGGCGCCTCAGAACTATTTATATCCAACCAAGTCGCGAGTAAACTTGCCCTTCGTATAGATAAGGCGAGTGGCTACATCAAAACCGTAAATGCCGAAGAGGTTTCAATCACAGGGATCTCCAAAGGAGTTGAACTCAATATCGAAAGCTGGACTGGTAAAGAAGTCATCAAAGTAATTCCCCTCGACGATTTCGATGTGGTACTCGGGTTAAGTTTTCTCGATAAGATCAATGCCTTCCCGGTCCCCTTTACCGACTGTCTATGTATCTTAGACCCGAAGCATCAATGCATTGTCCCAATTAATCGAGGACTCGGAGTTGGAGCCAAGATCTTATCCGCAATACAATTCTCCAAAGTTGTGCATAAGAAAGAACCGATATTCTTGGCAACACTAGTAAGCGAGAAATAAATTGCAATCGAAGATATCCCACGAGAAGTAGGTCAACTATTGGTTGAATTCAAGGGAATAATGCCTCTCAATCTTCCCAAGGCGTTACCCCCAAAAAGGGAAATTGATCACTAGATAGAACTTCTGCCAAACGCAGAACCGCCTACCAAAGCTCCCTATCGAATGACTCCACCAGAATTAGAAGAGTTGCGTAGACAATTGAAGGAACTCCTTGATGCAGGTTACATCAGGCCTTCCCAGGCACCCTATGGAGCACCAATGTTGTTTCAAAAGAAACATGATGGAACCCTCCGAATGTGCATAGACTACCGAGCCCTAAACAAGCTCACCGTGAAAAACAAGTATTCAATTCCCCTCGTTGCAGACTTGTTTGATCAACTTGGCGACGCAAGGTGGTTCACCAAGCTAGATCTGAGGTCAGGATACTAACAAGTTAGAATTACCGAAGGAGACGAACCAAAGACAACATTTGTCACACGTTACGGCTCCTACAAATTCCTTGTGATG